GAGTCATCAATCTCAAAGCACACAGAGAAATGTTTTGATTCCACCCCCATTACCTAAGAGGCCTTAAAGAGGCTCTGATGGCTGAAGGCACAGGGATGCCAGGCACTGGAAACCACACAAAAATCTTCTCCCTTGCCACCTGATGCTAGATGGCAGCTGGACTTTAAAAAAAATATTTTATTTATTATTTTTATTTTATATGTATGAATGTATTGCCTGCATGTATGTAAGTGCACCAGTGTCCTGCAGTGCCCCTGAGGACCAAAAGAGGGCATCAAATCCCCTGGAACTGTAGTTACCGACAGTTGTTAGCAGCCATGTGGGTGCTGAGGATAGAACCTGAGTCCTCTGTAAAAGCAGTCAGTGCTCTTAACCACTAAGCCATCTCATCAGTGTAGCACCTGGGACTTTGGCTGGGCTGGAACAGATTCCAGTGTAACCTCTTCCCACTGAGGACTTAGGCTGCATTTCTGACTCAACAGCTTCAGTGTCCTACTGGATAAAGACCCTGTAATTCTTTTCATGAGCCAGCCTTGGAAATAGCATAGTACCATTTTCGACACAGCTGATATGTCAAGACAGACAGAAATTTTCCCTCCCCAGGTCACAAGACTGAAGAGCATGTGAAATGGGAGACGCAAGTGGTTGCCTTTCTCTGAAGCTACTCTTCACTCTGATTCTACTTTCTAAGCCAGTTACCCTTTGTTTTTAACCTCAGACTCCAGCTATCTACGCAGTGTACACTAGGAGGCTGGCTCCCGCAATGACCTCACCTTGGTAGTTTCCCTAGAGAAATAAGCAGGAGACTCAAGGCAGAGAGATGGGCTCTCAGGGAGCATTTGCTGCCTCCTGCTCCTGTACCACACTGCTCAGCATCACTCTGATAATGCAGTTCAGCAGAAGTCTCCCCATCTCCACAGCTCCAGACTGTACCAGGTTCCAGCAAAGTATCTCATCCTTTTACACCAGTGTATGTGAGGGGGGATGCTAATAATAGCTTTTTGTCATTGTAAGATGTTTAAGTGCTTCACTACATCTTGTGTGTTCCTTAATGCAGGCCAGACATTCTATAAATAGTTCCTGCATTAGCATCTCATTTATAGTATTAAAGACAATTCTGATTTTATCAGGGCAATGTCTGGAGGCATCTAACACAAAATAGAGACAGGGAACACAAACATGAAAATTTAATATATTCACTTTGCATCTCTTCTAAGTACTTGGCATATTTATTGACTAGCACAGTTACATCACCCTGTCATTGCTATGGTCTGAATATGGTTTGAGATTTTTTCCTAGGGCTAAATGTCTTGGGAATTCTGTTCTCAGTGAGTGGTGACTAGGTGGTGGTGGGTTTCTCAGAAGCCAGATCTACTGGGAGGTTTTTATGTCACTGAGCCTATAACGTTTAGAAGGGGTTAAAGGAGTTCTCATGGGACCCTGAGTTAGTTCATGCAATGTTGTTAATAAAGGACAAGATTGGCCACTCCCTTGGTCCTTCTGGCTTCTTGTCTAGCAATGTGGTCACTTCATCTCCCATGTACTCCCACATATGATGTCATTCACAGCTGAGCTGATAACCATACCATAACTCTGAGCTTCTAGCACTGTATGCTAAGCAAACCTCTTTTCTTTATAAAGTTACTTAGCCTTGGGTACTTCAATATAGTAACAAAAAGGTTGACTATTTCAATAATTACAGCCTATAATCTTTCAAAATAATCTTGTTTTTAAATATTTTATTTATTATTTTTATTTTATTTTATGTGTATGAGTGTTGCCTGCATATATGTAAGCACACCCATGTCCTGCAATGCCCACAAAGATCAGAAGAGGGCATTAGATCCCTGGAACTGGAATTACAGACAATTGTTAGCTGTCATATGGGTGCTGGGAATTGAACCCTGGTCCTCTGCAAAAGCCATCTATCCAGGTACCCAAAATAATCTTTTCTCTAAGAATGTGTTATTCCTTCAAACCCTCCCTAAATAAGCATGTTTGTTTTAGGTTTCTGATGAAATATAAAAGTAATCTTGCTTTCCATAGTCACATAAAACACACTGGCTTCTACTGATCATCTCTCTTTTTTCAAAGTTTATAAACAAAATAAAAAATGGGTGATGTTGAAACCAAGTCTACACCTGGTCCATATCTTCCAGAATTTCATTTTGGTCCATTACTAATTCTAGTTCTGGGATACAAGTCCTATTTCTCAAAAAAATAACTGAATGTGATAGTGTGTAATATAAATAAAGGCAGTTTTACTTAGAAATATAATTTTCAAAAGACTGAATTCTTCCCCTTAAAAGTAGAGATTTGGAGCTGGGAAGATGGTTCAGTGGACAGTAAAGTGCTTGCTGTGAAAGCACTTTATGAAAGGAGGACTAGAGTTTGGATCCCCCTGGGAGGGTTAGCGGTGGCCTACATGTAATACCAACAAGGAAGGCAGAGTCAGGGAATCTCTGGAGCAAGATGGTTAGCTAACGTAGCCAAACCATGAGCTCCAGGTTCAATGGCAGACCTTGTCTCAATCTACGAGGTGGAGAGAAATGGAGGAAGACACCCAGTATCAGCCTCAGGCCTCCCACATGCACCTGCATACACAACTGTACCCATGTACATGAGAGCATGCATACAGACATCACATACACAGGCATATGCAAAAAAGGTAGAGAACCGGCCTTTTTTCTTTTAGTTACTATTTTTGTTTCATTTTGGCCAAGTTCAAAGATAATTCTTATGATTGCTGCCATTTGTGTCTTTTAATTTTGCTTATTTGCTTTGTATCATTACTTATATTCTTTCTAACACCTCTAGTTATTCTTTTAAACCAATGCCTTCTGCATTTCCAGTGGTTTTTTTGAGATTTAGCGTCACTTATTCCTCAGTGGATTTTTGAAAACTCAAACTAACTGTTTTCCTTTCCATGCCTCTTGATGTATGCTGCTATTTAGAGGGGCCGCCATACCTTGTCAGCTAGACTACAACACTATCATGGGAAGAAACAGATCTTGAGTGTTTTTCCAAAGAATCCTAAACAGAGCATCTTACAGAAATACACGCATTTGCCATGTGTTAGAATATGCTCAGGGAAGATAAAGTCAAAGTTCTTATTCTTTAAAATGCTTCTGAACGGGACCATCGGCTGTAGAGACAGTCTGTGGGGAAAGGTGGCTAGACATGTGAATGTAGCTGGCCATGAAGTGTTAAAGTGCAGTATCAGTCTGCTTCATAAGCACCAGGTCCTGGAGTGGGTTGGACAATAGTAAACCTCCAGAAAGAGGCAGGCTGAAGAGGAGGAGAAGAAAGAATAGGCCCAAATTCAGCCTTTCATGATTTCAATTACTTTTAACTATAGTAAATGGATGGAAGCTTTAACTCCTTGAAATAAGCAAGTGGCTAAATTTTTTTCTAGTACAGTATTCTCTTTGGACTTTAATATTAAATCCTTAGTTTTCCATGTCTATAGAAGTGGTACTTAACTTTCTCTACACAGCTAACGCATAAAGGAATACAGCAGCAGCAAGCAGGGCAGGTCCAGCTACACAAGTCTACGTACCTAGTTTGGAAAGCCACCTTTTTAAAAGAATACTAAGCCACAAGCACAGCATCACTAGGAAGGTGTGACATAATGAAACATAAATCTTGGCAAATGCTTGGAGGGTTTCCTTATTCTGGGACAGCTTTAGGCAATTTTACAGGAATGCTCCTTTCAAAAGAGCTTTCTGGCTACACTCCATCTCCTTCTCACCTAGAACATCCATAACTCCTCCAATTTCCAGCTTTCCTATAGGCCCCAGCAAATGAACAGCTCTGTCATCTCAGAGCCATCTCTGACCACCGGCCTTACTGAGATAGAGATTCTCAAGGGTAGACTGAAAGAAAATCTGGGGAAAGAGGCCACTTGGAGAGTTAAAATAATTCCAGATGATTTTGATCCACAACTTCCACCACCCCAATGCATAGCCATAGACTCCGAAAGGCCATACAAAGGGGAGCATACTGGTCACTCACTTCTCTTTATAACGGTTAAGTAGGTGTGTGTTGCTTTAACATTTTGAGGTAACTTTTAAATACTGCACAGGCGTCTTAGTCGTTGATACGATATTCTGACCTGACAATGTTCTGACCTGAACTCATGTCTTCCATTAGGAGGTCCTTTGAGAAACTAGAATGGCACTGGATCGCGCCACAAAAGGAGGCAGAGGCAGGCGGATCTCTGTGAGTTCAAAGCCAGCCTGGTCTACATAGTGAGTTCCAGGACAGCTGGGGCTACAGGGACACCCTGTCTCAAAACGACCAGAAAAAAAAAAAAAAAAAAAGATATTTTTGTTTCCAACTTTGGGAAAGTAGTAGTATCAGTGTACCAGCATCTAGTCCACCAATAACACACAGAAGGTAGTCTCTTTCCAATTATAACCCCAGCCAGCAAGTGCTTTTGGGGCTAGATTTCTAAGGGAAAGGGAAGGAAAAACAAGGCTACCGCTGGGGCAGTAAGTGCCCATCTTAAAAATCTCAGGTTCTCAGCTCAGGGGGGTTGTTTGCATTTTCATGCCGAAAGGATTTCCTAATGGCCACTGGATTCAAGAGACTCCCTAAGGGTGTGACCCAATGCTCCCATTCACACCCAATAGCACTGAATCAAAAATTACTCTCCACTCCAGAAATGGCTCTCCCAGAGCTCAGGACTGTCAGGAGGAGAAGCCAGGAGGGGAGAAGACAGTTTCAGACCACCTGCCCCCCTCCCCACGTTTGAGGACTGTCTCTAGGAGATGTCCCTGTGAGATAAGGAAAAAGGAAAAAAAAAAAAAAAATCACAACTTTTCAGAATCCTAGAAGCCACAGCCCTGCCACTTGCAAGGTCAAAGTGCGGAGGAGGGAGCCGCTGATGGCAGGAGGCTGGGGGACGGTCCCGATGGGGATCTGTCCCAGAGTGGAGTGGCTGGGGAAGTTTCCAGGGACGCCCCGCCCCGCCATAGCCGTGGACACTGCCCGCTCACCTTACTGAACACCTCCAGGTCGTCCTCGTCCTCGTCCAGATCCAGCACGTCGGCTTGCAGCAGGCTGGAGGAGCCGCTGCCGCCCGGGCCCGCGGCGCCGCCCCGCGGACTCTCCCCGGCCAGCTCGGCGGAGCGCGCCTCCGACGCCCGCTCGCCGTCCATCCCCGCAGTGCGCGCCCCG